GGGGGGGGGGGGTTGGAAAGGCTGCAATCAGGTTAGCAACAAAGGAAATGTGTGAAACAACATATGAAAACATCTGAAAAAATGAAGGCAACAAAATAACCAAAATGTCAGCAGAAGCCTTCATCAACAAAGAAACAACAGAAAAAACAGAATTAAATAAAAATAACACGTAACTGAAATGTAGTATCCAAGAGGGCAGCAAAAGAATGTGATGAAAATATAGAATTACATCTTTAAACCATTAATTTTTTAATTTGAAAAAATGCATACACAAACATGTTTGGTGTACATTTACAAATATGAATATACAAGGATACATGACAAAACTATAACAAATACATCTATTGCAAAAATCTTGTACAAGCTTTTACATGTGTCTTGGTTAATTAAAAAAAACAACTTTTAATAATATATGTAGAATTTTATGAACACTTCTCTTTATTCTAAAAATTTGAAAGCAAAACAAAAACTTATCTTTTAAGGCTGCCGCTATTTGGACCCGGGTCCGAGAAGTGAGAGTTTGGGTTTATTAAAAAATATTTTTAAATTATTGTAGGATTTGCAAGACAAAATTTGGTAAATGAAAAGATAATTGAATGGACTATATGTTTGTAAACTTACTTCTTAAGTTTAACTAAAATAAACTACCACAAATGACATCCGAATAGCATTTAGTCAAAATGGAACCGGAAACGCATCGCCACTATTCGGACCCGGGTCCCTTTAAACTCAATGCTATTCGGATGTCATTTGTTATAGTTTATTTTAGTTAAACTGAAGAATTAAGTTTACATTCATTTATTAAGTAGAATGATGGATTTTTAATGCCAACAATTTATCTCGAATAAAATTTAAAAGTGACTCCTACAACTACTGTAACCACGGCTGTAACAAGACCAAGTTTTAGCCATGAAATTCTCTCCCTTTTGCCATTCACAGTTTTTGCCTTTTCAGTGTCTGATCTCAGTGTTTTCAAAAAGGGTAGAAGACCTAAGGAATTAAGAAAATCAATCAAAGGCATAGAATTATACAATTTTGGTGCTCAAATTCAAATAATACATGGGGAATAAATCTAAGTATGGGCAGAGAAGAACCTATTAATTTAATTGGTTCATAATTCTGAAATGATTTTAGAGTTAAGCTTTACAGTATTAAAAGTAAGAAGACTTACTTGTGCCACCTGTTCCTCTCAGCTCTGAGCTTTGACTGCTGCCACCTGTTTTCTCTTTAGATGCAATCACAACATATCTGGAATGCAAAATGTATTTAAATTTGCTGCTTAAATGTAAAATAAAAATGAGCAGATTGCTGTTTCCTTCAGAAAGGTGTTTTAGCATGGAAACAGCTCCTCGTTTTCAATCATTTAGTTGTTTTGCACTGAAAATTTTAAAGGAATAATAAACTAGTCGCTAACATTTTTGTTCTATTGTTTGAAATAACAAAAGTTCTCAAGATAAAAGTTAAGTCTTTACTTTGTGACCAACTGTATGTGGTATGTCCTAAAGTTGACCACTGCAGCAAGACATTTGTTGTAGGCAGATTTCATAGACTTGTTGTTGCTGGACTGAACTGTTTGAAAATAGTAAAAAAAAAGAAATTGTCTTTTTATCTGAGTCAAAAAAAAAAAAAATACTGCAACAGCTAATTCATCTATTTTAAAAACTTTTGTGAATTTTATCTCAATGCATTTGAAGCAAAAGAATTAATTACTTGTGAGGTAGTATCAAGTGAGAAATGAAAACTGGGTCCCAGTTATTGGAATTGATTTTTTATTAACAACAAGATATATGAAAGCTTGAATTGTAAATCAAAACATAAATTTAATCTATTTTTAAACTACCTGTTTTGTTTCCCTGGTGCAAATTTCATATCATTTTTTGCATAGGAACTGAACCATCCGAACTTTTTGGGACATCTCAATGTACAGGGAATAAAGTTTTTAAAACTAGAAATAAAAAGAAAAACTTGCTGATACCCAAAAGTTTAAGTGGTAGTTCCATCTGTTCCAAGTCTTCAATGAAACGCTTGTGGTCAGGTGGTATGTACTTTCTCATGAGTTCTAGAAAGTCTCTTTTGTCTGGAGGTTATGATGATGATATTTTCTTTGTGATAATTTAAAATGTTTACATTATAAAAATTACTAAGTTAAAATCATCTTATTAAGAAAAAATGTATAATTAGATTTTTTAAAAAAGAAGAAATTTATTAACCAATTCTAAGTGAAACAAAAAACTATTATGCTTTCACAAAATAAATTTTAAGAACATTCTTTTGTTTAACATATTAGGATTTGCAGATTCACTAAAGGTTTAAAATATGATGCTGGAAGACCTTTAAAACATATAGCTTGTGTGCATGCATAAAAACCCCACAAATTTATTACTTATAAAGACCTACCTGTTGTATGCTCCACTCCCAGAAATGCATCCAATGCTTGTAATGTTGCACTCTGTGCTGCAGTGTCTCCGTGCATCTGACACAAGAAAAAGATTTGAGATCTTTAATGAAACTTTTTGAATTCAACTAGCAATTATTTGTAGATCTGATTTCAGTCTGTCCAAAATATCAGATGAATAAATTAATAGAATTACCTTCAGTGGGGTCTCACTGATCCCATCATACACCAAGCCAGTGGGTAACGGGCTGCCATCACCTCCTCCCCATCTAGGAAATATAGAAAGTACATTTACATTAATGACTAATTTAGAATATGAAATGATCTGCTGAAAATTATTGCAAGAATATAGCTGGCAACAGTGAGCTAAGCTGCTTTGTTGTTGTTATTGTAACTATTATATTTGTATGATTTTTCAACTTACCCTGCAAAGAATGGACGTAAAACATTAAAAAATGTGCTTGCTCCAATGTTTTCTGAAGAAGGAAGACAGTCAATATTAAAAGAAACATAGAAATAAATTTAAATGTATTCGCATTTTCTTTTTTAATTTGAAATGTTAAAATTTTTTAATTTAAAAAAATAACTCAAATTTTAACTGGTACTTGCTAAAAATTTGAGAAAATCATCTTTTTTAACAGATTTTTTAATGTAATGTTAGGTATGGTACCATGCATTCTAGATAGTGCTGCATTCATAGTTTGCACAGCTGCCTCTAATTCCTGTAAGAGTGTTGCAATTTGATTTTCAGTCTCCAACAGTTTTGAAATTTCATTCTCTTTTAGGTCTGAAACTTTCTGAAGCAAATCAAGGATGTTCCCCATGGGCTAAAAAAAAAAAAATTTGTTTAACTTTTCAGAGTCTTTATTAATTAATATAATTTTTTACAAATGTTTTCTTATTTGTATTGAGTGGAGAATACTGGGTTCTCATTAAAAATTTCCCTGAAATTTTTCATTTCAAAATGTTTAAAATTGTGTAATTCGTTTAAAAACTATTATTTTTTACTTGAATTTTGATTTGATCTACTGCTTAAAAGTAGACAATTTTTTAAAGTTTTATCATTTGTGGCCAGAAAAATTAATTGAATTTACAGACGCAAATATAACCATTAAATATTATATTAATATATTTATAATATCAGGGGAACATTGCCATTCTTCTCAATATATTAAGTTGCGGCATACATACCTTTCATATGGACAAGTAATTATGTTTTCCTAAGGAAATTGTTACCTTTAAACATAAGGCAAATTTCAGCTCCACCAAATCTGTGACAAGACAAAACCAATCTCCTTCACTGTCACCAGGTAAGTGGTAAAGGCACTCAAGATTACTGGATAGCAAGAAAGGATTATTTGAATATGCTTCATAGTTTATTTTGACTTCCTGTAGGCTATTTAAAAGATGAAACTAATAGTTAAGTAATTTAATGTTATTTTATACCTAATCATTCCCCCATAAATGAATTACTATATACTTAAATAGGCCTACATTTTAAATTTGTTTTTAAACTACCAACAATTTTTTTTTAAATATTTTTTGTTATTTTACTGAAGTTCAAATTGAAAAAACAAGATAGAAGTTTTCATAATTAATTAATTGTAGAGCCTGTTAGATACTTACTCCAAATCATAAGACCTGTAGTTTAGAAAGAAAAATAAAGAGCCTACTTTATTTTAACTTATTAAAAATTGGTCATGTTATAGTTATTCAACATCTTGACTTGCTTGTACGCATTAAGTCATTGCCACAGTTAGTCAAACAAATTACTGAACCAGCACTGAGTGAATAGTCCTTTTAAAAATTTGTGCTATCATATCACATTTGAATTGCACAAAATACAATTGAAAAAATATTTTTAAAATATAAATTAAATTTTTTTTTTTATATTTAGAGTAGCTGCTTTGCTTTTAAAGTATAAATGCTTAATAAGAGTAATATCTTAACTAACTGATAAAACAAAAAAAATAATAAATTAAAGATCTCTGGAGTCTTTTTAATTTCAACATATAAATAGTTTGCGCTCATCAATTATAAATGTTTTAATAGTAATTTAATGATAATAATAATAAGCAGCATCATGAGACAAATGTTGAGACAAAAATAAATAACGTTAGTGACAAATTTGCTAAACAATCTATGGGCTAAAATTTATTTTTAGAAAAAAAAAGATAAAACAAAAATGTCCCTGATATTAACTAACCCATTGAGATCTTTCTTTTTCCAATTTGCCAGTGCCAGATCAGTGTGACACAAAACAGGTTGTAGACCAAGCTTTCTAGATATTTCATAAAGTGGAACAGCCAAACTTTTAGGCAGGACCTGAGAAACAATATCAACACATTTGAACACTTTTATGATTGAAGAATAGATTATTTATTTAGATAGCATGCAAATGATTATTGAATGCATATACAATATAAAGTACCAATAATTTAATCCAGAGAAAAATGATGAAACATAATTGTAACTTTCAAAAAAATATTTTCAATATAGGAACAGTAGAAAATATAATTATGTCATTGAGATAAATGCATACATTTAACAATAATTTACAATATATTACTTTAAACTGTTAACCCATGTAAATAAAATTGAAAACACTGAAATTGTCAGTTAGTCTACAGATCTACAACATTTTTAGGAAACAAACATAACTGATATTTTCTTAAATATTTTCACATTATACCTTTGAGAAGCAGCAAAATTGTGTGGATTATTTTTCTTCTGATTCACTTTTCATTAATTTATAATACTTAAAAGCAGCTGCATCTAGATAAACATAATCACATCTAAAATATTCCTTTTTCTTGTCGATGACAAAAATATTCTACTTTTTAAAGTAAATAGGTAGTTGAATAACATTTTATGAAGGATTCACAAGGCAGTAACTAATAATTATGTAGGCCTACTCATTTACTCAGCTTAATAGAAATCAGAAAATGTGTGATTATCTGTTTAAATAAGAATTAATACTACACCTGAGGTGGGTCTTTGTCCCCATTCTGCCAGACATAAGCAGCCGTGATGTAGCTCAGTTGTAGATGAGCAAGTCTTAACTGGCGGTAACTGGCCAACTTTTCATGGTCTAAAACTGGCAACTGTGATAAAGTTTGTTTAGTATTATTTATTTGAGTTACCTTTCCGCAGCCTAATATTTAGTTATTTATTTTAATACCATACAATTTTTTTTATAGTAAATTAGGTTATATATATATTAATGAAATACACATCTTGTAGAGATGAGAAACTGATAAATAATTTACCTGAAAATTCACAGCTCCCACCCCACACCCCGACCCAAAACCAATTCTAATATCTATTGAAATGTCAGTTTGTATTATGCTATGTTCAATTACTATAATGTGCTATGCTATGTTTACTTTGTGCTATGCAAAATTTGCAAATAATCTCAATAATGTAAAAGTGTTTAACATGATATTTTTAAAAGCTTGGTTTGTCAAAATATAAACACATTTGTCAATCCATTCGTGACCGAACACTGACCTACCTTTGACACAGCTTCTCTGACTTTCTTTTCTATCAGCAACTTTGGCACAGAACTTGCTAGAACGTGCCATTGGTCAAAGTACGGAGGCAGACTAGTCTAGGATTTTAAATAATAAGCAAAACTTTTAAATTCAAATGATCATTAAAAAAAATAAAAAAATAACAACAGTATTTTGTGAAGAGATGTACAGGTTTGCTTTTATTGTAAATTAGATCACGATGCTAATAATTATATTGACTCGATCGATTTATTGCACTCAATTCCCTTCCCTTACATTTCGAGACTACGTTTTAGTATTTTATTATACGTGAGAACTACTTACTAACGGATCCTCCAGCATAAAGCCCGTGTTGTAGGAAATGTGATACTTCTGGAGGTCAAAACTCTTGCCGGATCCATCAGCAGTGCTAACACTTGGTGGACTCATGATTGATGACTGAAGAAAGAACCAGCCTTAGGAACTGATGACGAGGTAAACAAAAGTGAGTCTTTTAAAATGCATACCTTCTTAAAAACGCCGCTTGTGACATTATCTTGAACCTCTAAAACGACTTTGTTCATACTAGTAGGCCACTGCATGTGCTTCACATGTTTGAAATGATGATGTGGGTGTGTGCCAGTGTGTGTGTGTGTGTTTGAGAAACACTGCCAACTCACCTGCCGTCGACATTGCAGCATGCGAAGGTGTCTCGAACGGGAGTTTACCTTAAATATCCCACCCCACCCTTAATAGTACCCCCGTTTCTTTTACAAAGGAATCCATTTATTTTTATAATTTTTATAAGCAGCCATAGGTCCATTTGGGCAGTGTAGTAGGGTAAAGGAGAGGCGCGAAAAAAAAATTGTGGGGGAGGGGGTGGGTCGTCTTGACCGGGCAGTCATTTTTCTTTAGACTATATGAAGGGGTGGCATTTGCGGTCAACTTCAGAGAGGGGGGGGGTCTAGGAGGGGGTCAATATCTTGGCACGCACCTCCTCGTCACTTTAAAACACGTTACACAACGACTGGAACCTGATATGCCATTGATAGCTTCATTTAATTGATTTTTATCACTGATATTACTCCAAGACATATCGACACTAAGAGAGTGGACAACCAAAGAGTAGCTACAACTGTGTCCCTTCAATAAGTTTTAAATTTAAATGGTTGCGAAGTTTCTTAAACACGTGACTGACATGGTTGGTGTAACTAGTGCAGTAGTTGCATTCGTAGATTCTTTCTTTTCCAATCGTGACTTTCAAACAAAAATACTCGTCTTAAGTTTAACGTTGGCTTTGAATGTTTCTGAAATTGTTTCCACGACAATTTTGGTCCAAAATGTTATTGTCCTTGAGCAGACGTTTGGTGAACACCTCGGTCAAAGATTATATTTTAATCTACCAAAGTTTGTAGAATCATCGATTTTCTTGACTAACATAATATTTAAGGTACCGACAAGTCGGGCAGTTGCCCGGGGCACCATGTGCATAGGGTGCCATCAACGATCTTCCAAAATAGGAAAAATCATTGCATGTGTGCGCCACGGAAGAACAATAGAAAGTGCATAAAAAAGATTTGCTGATCATAAGGGCAAGAAGAAAAAAATTATCCAGACGATAACTGTTCATACTGTCCACGGTAGGCTGATTGTTCATACTGTCCACGGTAGGCTGATTGTTCATACTGTCCACGGTAGGCTAATTGTTCATACTGTCCACGGTAGGCTAATTGTTCATACTGTCCACGGTAGGCTAATTGTTCATACTGTCCACGGTAGGCTGATTGTTCATACTGTCCACGGTAGGCTGATTGTTCATACTGTCCACGGTAGGCTGATTGTTCATACTGTCCACGGTAGGCTGATTGTTCATACTGTCCACGGTAGGCTAATTGTTCATACTGTCCACGGTAGGCTAATTGTTCATACTGTCCACGGTAGGCTAATTGTTCATACTGTCCACGGTAGGCTGATTGTTCATACTGTCCACGGTAGGCTAATTGTTCATACTGTCCACGGTAGGCTGATTGTTCATACTGTCCACGGTAGGCTAATTGTTCATACTGTCCACGATAAGTTGATTGTTCATACTGTCCACGGTAGGCTGATTGTTCATACTGTCCACGGTAGGCTGATTGTTCATACTGTCCACGGTAGGCTGATTGTTCATACTTCCCATGGTAGGCTGATTGTTCATACTGTCCACGGTAGGCTAATTGTTCATACTATCCACGGTAGGCTGATTGTTCATACTGTCCACGGTAGACTGATTGTTCATACTGTCCACGGTAGGCTGATTGTTCATACTGCCCACGGTAGGCTGATTGTTCATACTGTCCACGGTAGACTAATTGTTCATACTGCCCACGGTAGGTTAATTGTTCATACTTTCCAAGGTAGGTTAATTGTTCGTACTGTCCAAATTTTTATGATAGTACTTAAAAGGGGCGCAAACGTTAAGCACGATTTGGGTGCCAGCAACCGTATGAACGGCCCTGATAATATAATATACACATGAATGTCACTGAAATAAACATGCTATACACCAATAAACAACGCATCTAGCTAGATGCATTCAGTATGTTCAAGTTAATGGGGAATGCCCCTCACCAGTACCGAAACCTTATTAAAAATAAAACAGATGTCTGTCAATTTAAAGATAGAAAGTTGTTTGGCAATACGGAGGTCGTGGGATCTATACTAGTTCTGACACATTTTAAGTTAAACAAAATCAAACTTATTATCCCAAATAGTTTTAATTATGTTTTTAGATTTCCATACGTTAAAAGCATGTCATATCACAAAACAATAGGCCTATTTACGGTTTTCCATTCCTCCATTTTTTTTTCTTACTTTTTTCAAAAGAATTTTGTTTGCTATCTGATAAATGTCGTGGTGATATGTGCACAGTATACGAATCAGTGATATGTGCACAGTATACGAATCAGTGATATGTGCACAGTATACGAATCAGTGATATGTGCACAGTATACGAATCACTATTAAAAATTATATTAATTATGATTGTCAACTTATATTATTACTGTACAGGAGCAGAAGGTTGTTGGGCTGTTGACAAAATATATGTTAATAAATGTTTGCATTTTTGTGATTATATGTCTATAACAGTAAAGAATTGATGAAGAAGATGCAGTACAGTAAAGTTAGAGTGTAGACAGATTGCCTTTCAGATAGATCGATGAGAGAATAGGTGACAAATGGACAGATCTGCAGCGTTGAAGACATTGACTCGGGGTTGATTGAGGTGTTGATTGAGAAGAGACATGTGTCTACTTACGTTGTGTTTGATGTATAGGACTAGATTGTGAACTGGACAAGACGTTTACAACACCAGACGGGTTCACGGTGATAAGCTTAACTCGTTCATTGGACCAGTTACCTTTGTGTGTGTGTGGGATGTGGATGAGAGAGATATGGATGAGAGGGATGTGGTAGACAGGTAGATTGTTGCAGGTGGAAATAAGTTCTGAGGTGGGGGGGGGGAGAGAAGGAGTAGAAACGTACCTGAAGAAAGAACGGGTCAAGGTACTACCTGAAAGAATTGTTAAAGCAAATGTATTCCTGCGACACGACCCAAAATTTGTACAGTAAGAATTTAGGAAAAAAAGTCTTTTTTTTTAAATTAGCCGTTAATTGACTTAATTAACGGGTCTTTTATAAATGACGTCGATAAAGAGGAGGAGGGGGATTTGTTTTCATGTGGACAAGGGGGTTGGGGGTGGACAAGGTGCCTATTTTTTGCGGGCGTCCATTCTGAACAAACCCTAACAAGATGATGACTTGCCTCGCAACCTAACTCCATCCGAAAAAATTGCTCACTTTTAAATGAAATCTATTGAGAGGCCAGGGGTTACCTATTAAGATGAGTTGAAAGGAAGACAAGCATGTGGTAGGTAGATCAATGAAGTCCAGTTCTAAATACGGGGCTTGATCAAGAGAGATAATGGATACTCTTATGTACCAGAAAAATTATAATTGAAAAAAAATATCAGCTAACAACATTGTCCAACTCGATTTAATTTTAAGAGAGACAGATGGGGCATATGTCACAGGGCGCCTTGCTAGTGTGGCACCAAAATTGGATTTGATGGTTGAAAATATTTAGTTTCAGAGTTTAGGCGGGAAGTGGGGCGTACAAATGAATCATGTCCCCTGATGCCAAACACTCTAGTTACGCCCCTTTCAGTGGCGTAGAAAAGGGGGGGGGGGGGGTTCACCCGGGGGTCATTTTCGGACAACGGCAGAGTTGGTTTCTTAAAAGGGGGAGGGGAAAAAAAATTTGGCCGCCCTGGGGGG